CACTAAAGTGCATCTCTAAGCACGCAGCAGCAGCAGCAGCAGCTCTGCCTGACATCCCTCATGCTGTCCTCAGGCTTCCTGGGGCCTCTTTAATGGCCCTGCCACCTCCAGCAGGGCTGCTCAGCACTGTGACAGGGCCATAAACCAAGTGACAGATGAGTGGGAGACTGGGCACAGGCGGGAGCCCCATCTGGCCGTCCTGCCTGGTCCGAGCTTCGGCCACGTCTTGACCCCCACACATCCTCCCTTACGTTTCCCCAGGTCAGATGCAAAAGCCATTTGAAGATGCCTCCTTTGCGCTTCGGACGGGGGAGATGAGCGGGCCCGTGTTCACGGATTCCGGCATCCACATCATCCTGCGCACGGAGTGAGGGGGCAGGTGCCCAGGCCTGGCCTTGGGATGGGGCGGGGCAGGCAGGGTGGCTGGGCCTGGGGGCCCTGCTTACTGCTGCCAGCCGAGCATGGGCGCCTCTCCCTGCTGATGTCACACAGTATTTATTGTTCCCAAAATGGCTAGGAGAGGGGCTCTGCACCATTAGGGGCTCCCTGTCGGACCCAGGTTGCGGCTGTCCCCGCCAGATTCCCCCCTCCTTTGGAATTGACTTTGGAAGGACAGCGGTGTGGGGGTCTCCCAGAGCTCCCAAACCCAGGGGGTGGGGGTGCCCTGTCCCAAAGGGAAGGCCTAGTCAGCAGAGCTGTCCTGTGTCCAGGATGGGGTAGGAGGGCCTTACGTTGTTCCTGGTTATGCCATGTTCCTCTATTAAATCGCAAAATGCAGATGCTCTGTGTGGGGCCCAGGCTGCTACTGCTGTGGGGCCCTCTGAGCAGCAGTGCAGCACCCTCACACCCTCCATTAAACCTGGAACCACTGCTCTGCTGTCCTGTGTCTCATTTCCTCCCTGCTGAGTGAGGGCGCACTGTCGGGGGAGCAGGCCTCTCCCACCACCCCTAGTGTCCAGCCTGCGAGTCCTCCCCAAGCCTCCACATTCTGGGCCTGAGGACAGCCAGGAGTGCATCCCAGCATCCAGGCCCCAGGGAAGGGGGCACCGGTCAGCGCCAGCAGCCCTCAGACCTGGGTGTTCCCGAATGCAAGGACCCTGCCTGGACCCCACAGCCTGGACTCAGCAGGTCAGATGGAGCTGGAGACCTGCAGGGGATCCTGGGAGAGCCACACACACACACCCCACCCACGGGCACCCCAGTTAGAGTGAGTGATGCCCGCACCCTGATGCTTCCCTGTTGCACCACAAGCTCTTCTGGCAGGTTGTGTCTGGGTCCTGCCGCCTCTGCAGATGCCGGGAGGCCTTGTGCTGGAACGGGGCGGGCGAGGAGGCTGTCAGAGCAGAGGGGATCCCTGTGGCTGATGGGGGAGGTGGTGGGCTCTCCCTCTTGGGGCGGGGGCTGTGGGTGTGGCATACCTGCTCTTCATCCCTTCCTCACAGCTGCCCCTGTGCCAGGGCCTGGGCTGGGGACTCGAGTTCATTTTGGGAGTTATGGGCCTGTTAGGTGGTTATGCCCACTCTGCTGACCCCTTAATGGGGACTAGCCTGCATCGGGGATAGCAGACTGCCAGGGGTTGGGAACCGGAGCAAAATAGAGCCTTGACTGGCTTGACCCCAAGGGAGGCAGGAACCCAGGGCTGAGTCTCAAACAGTCACCTGGGCGGACTCCAATCTGGCAGGTTTCTGGAGCACTCGCTCTCCGCCTGCGCCTGCTGGAGCATTTGTCATTAGGACGGCTTAATGAATTTCAGCGCTAGTGGGCTGGGGAGTCGGCTATTGGCTGCACCTCCTGGCAGAATCTTCATCGCCTTTGGGGGCCACAGGCAGGCAGGCGAGCAGCCCCACTGTTTGTGTCAACAGTTCTGTGTGGTCAGGGGAGCGATCACACCGCTCCTGGCCCAGTGGTGCCTCTGGGAAGGACCAGAAATGAGTGCTTGTGGGGCAGGAGGGTGTCGGGGTTCTGGTTTAAGGCGAAGGGCCTCTGGAGAATGGGCACTTTCAACACCAAAGGCCCAGAGAAGGTGTCCCCGGGCTCCCAGGTGGCCAAGACGCTGCCAGGGAGAGGGGTGTGGTTTTCTGTCCTGGTCTTCGTGGCACTCCGTCACTTTGGGCATCCGTGTCTCTCACGAGTGCATGTGGCCGTGTGTCCCTAGTTGTCTCTAGGTATGCATCCATTGTGACCCTGGGAGTAACACCCATCCCATCTCCCCACCTCCCAGTCTGGGTGTGACCCCCTCCCTGCCTTTGTGGGCCCCCCCCCTTCCTTTGTCTAGCTGAGCAGCAGCCGAGACCCAAACACAAAAGAACGTCACTGTTAGATAAACAGGTCCCCAGAGCCCACTCAGTGTCAGGCTGATTCACGGTTCAGTGGCTGTGGCTTTCCTTTCCTGCTCCACATCCCCCTCCAGCCCAGAAGCGAGGTCAGAAATCCCGGCCTTCAGGATGGTGACAACCGAGTAGCCTTCCCTCCCAGCTGAGCTTCGTCCCAGGGGACTGGTGCTCACTCCTCTGCCCTGTGCACCAGCCCAGGCTTCTGTGGCCACCGGGCAGGGCCAGTTCGGGTCCCCTCGACTCAGGGAAACGCTGGTACTGCAACCGTGCTTTCCCAATGGAGCCGGTGCACACCCAGGAGGGGAGGTCAGTCAGCAGAGAGGGTGGCCAAAACCAGATGACATGATCCTGGCCTGGGGAGGGGGTGGGTGAGTTATTCCTGCCTACCCTTTGGTGGACATACTGTTGACCCTGGAACAACACGGCTGTTAGGGGCACTGACCCTCGTGCAGTCAATCCCCCAAAACTTAACTAATAGCCTGTTAACTGGAAGCCCTGTGGATGATATAAACAGTCAATTCACACGTATTTCCTAAGCTATATGTGTTATGTACTGTATTCTTGCAGTAAGCTGGAGAAAAGGAAAAGTGCTCTCCCTCAGCACACCCTTCTCCCTCTTCCCTAGGCCAGTGGTCGGCAAACTGCGGCTCGAGCCACATGCAGCTCTTTGGCCCCTTGAGTGTGGCTCTTCCACAAAATACTACGTGCGGGCGCGCACATACAGTGCGACTGAAACTTCCTGGCCCATGAGCAGAAGTTGGTATTTTGTGGAAGAGCCACACTCAAGGGGCCAGAGAGCCGCAGTTTGCCGACCACTGCCCTAGGCGCATGACCTCTGCCCTTCTCTCCTAAGCTCCAAGGGTCCTTTTGCTTCTGTAACTTGCTTGCTCCTGAGCCTGCGCAACCCAGCAGACTCACTTCTACTATCTCTGTAACTTTGTAAGTAAACTTTCTCTTATAGTTTGAAAAAAAAAAAATTCTAAGGAAGAGAAAATACATTTGCTGTATTGGGGGAGGGGGGAATCTGCATATAAGTGGACCTGCACAGTTCAGACCCGTGTTGTTGAAGGGTCAACTGTATATCCATGTAAGTATATCCAATATAAGGGGTGCTAGGCCTGCCTGTGCGGGGCGGGGGCGGGGGGGTATGATGCCAGGTGCCTGTGGCATCCATTTGAGGACTGGCGTGCAGATGTGACAGACACACACACACCTACGCCTTTTCTCATGCGAGTCTCCAAGTCTGTGTATATTTTGGACAAAGATTGTCGAACTCGGCAGTCGCAGTCCCTCCCCTTATGTTGGGAAAATTCGCTATAGGAGAACAACGCCCTAACTCCCCACCCCACCGCCCTGCTCACCTTGGAGATTTCCTCCGAATAAACGCAGTCGGAGGGTGGCGGGCAGATGTTTTGAGTGCCCCAGCCCGGGGCCTGTCTTCTAAGCAGGTTCAGAGCAAAGTGCCTTTCAACATGTCTATCCAGGGATCGATTCTTTTCCTGTCAAACTTGTTAATTTAAATGGAAATTAATTGCTCCTCTTGAACATTTCTTTAAAAATTGGTTTTAAATGAATGCATTAGGCAGTCACATTTATTATTCATTGGTTCCCTTCACAATATGGCCCCGGTGTCCCGAGTTCCCGGAGATGCCAGCGTGGAGCGGAGATGATTTAATCAAGGAGGCCATTAATTAGAGCTGAGCAGCTGGGGGACGGGGTTTCCACCCAGAGGACCAGGTTTCACAGCCTCTGGCCTCAGCGGGTGGGGGTGGGGTCTGGGCCAGTGGGGTTCTTTGCACAGTTTCTGCTCAGGATTCAGTGGGGACCATATATTGTGGTGGACAGTCCTACCTTTGTTCCTGGCCACCGGCCCAGAGGTCCCTCTCCCACTCCCCTTGCTGTCTCATCCAGGCCACCGGGGACCTGGCAGAAATAAAGCCTTCATCTGCTCTTCCCTTCCATGACTCCACGGCTGCCCCCATCTCTGCCTGACGCCCTCTCACACCCCTTCCTGTCTCCTAGCTTTTCCTGTCCTTCTCCTGCAGGAGTTGCAGTCTCCACGTTGGGTCCTCGATGTCAGGCCCACGCCTGCCCAAGCCCCTTCCAGGTAAATGGGGTCCAGGTGTGGGAGTGTTCAACTGAAGGCACCCAGTGCGCCTTCAGGCTGTTTCTAACCTTTTGCTATTAACTCAGAACAGGTGCAACTCCTATAAAATGATTTTGAAATTACAAAGCAAAGAGAGAAGAAAAAGGAAAACTGTGTCCCACCCACTCATACCCAAATTCTAGAAGCAGCCAAATGGTTAAAACCCCATTTAAAAAGTTGCCAGAGGGCTCAGCAATGCACCAGACTGATCAGTGAGTGAGAAAACGATGGAGAATATTCATGTGAGGCCAGTTTTCATTGCTGCGACAGAATTCTCAGGTGTTTGGGTCAAATTGCTTTTCAACAAATTGTTTTCCATTGAAACAACTTTGCCTATTTCCCCAAAGGGCTTGGCCGCCCCCGTGCCCCCCCCTCCGCCCCCAGGCTGGGCTTCCCTGCCCTGGTTCACAAAACTTGCTGCATGGGACGGGGCCCAGCGGGGATGGGTCTCCATGCTCAGACTTACCCTGCACCACTGCCTCCTCCACCCCTCCTGGACACAGAACAACCAACGCATCAAATGTCAAAGGTTCCGTTTATTCCGGCAACCCAGAAAGTAAAGGCGTAAATAAAAATAAAAATAAACAGATCCATGCACTCAACTCCTTGGCGGGGAAGAGGAGAGGTTCAGAGAGAGGGAGAAGGGAATGGGTGGGAGGGAAGCAGAGAGGGGAGGGAAGAGAGACAGGCAGAGACAGGGAATGATCTGCAGAGTCAGATCAATAAAAAGAAAGAGGGACATCAATAAAGAGGCAGGATGACAAAGAACTGGAGTATCAAAATCAGATCAATAAAGGAGAAGAGACATTGAGAAAATGCACCAATAGAAATACAGAGGCAGAGAATGAAAGCTGGGCGAAAGGCAGTGAGAGAGAAAAAAAGGACAGGAGGGGAGGTGGGGCAGGACAGAGACAGATCAACTTGAAGGGACACAGGCGGAGTAGAAAGGGCCCCTGGTGGGCCTCTAGGGGTCCCCAGCAGTGCTGATGACGTGGAAGAGGGTGACATTGTAGAGCACCTGGTGGCCGTTGTTCCAGGTATAGAGGGCTCGCTCCCGGGGATTGTAATCCAGCATGGAGATGTGGGAGTACTGATTGTGGAAGGGCACGTCTGTGTACTCGTAGCTGGACGTGTTGGTGAAGTAAGCAAAATAGACCTTGGCCCCGGCCAGGTGGGAGTTGGTCACGTAGAGCACGCCACAGATCATGAAGGCCTCACCAGCGCTGCGCTTGGGGTAGCCAGTGTCCCAGGATCGCATGACCTCAAGGGTGTGCGGGTCTAGCCGGCTGACCACAATGTTGCCTGCATTCTGGTTAGTGGTGTACACGGCCCAGAGCCCGCTCTCATCTACCATGAAGTCCATGTCAGAGAAGCCACCCCAAGAGTAGGGGAAGGTGTTGTTGTAACCAGCCCCCGGAAGGCTCCTCTGCACCAGCACGGAGCGTGAGCGGAAGTGGTACTTGACTACCACGTTGCTCTGGTACTTGTTGTAGAACAAGGAGCCATTGTATACCACATGGCCCGTGCCTGCCCAGGGCTGGGGCAGCAGATGCTGGATAAAGTTCTGGCCTTTGATGAAGTCTCCCAGAGTGCGGAACTCCAGAACGCGCCGGCCCTTGTAATAGCCGTCCATGTACCAGACCTATGAGAGAGCCACTGGTCACTGGGGGACCACTGCCAATGACCCAAAGTCTGCAGCAATCACTCAGGAATCAACCATGGTCATTAGGAATCAACAGTCACTAAATGGTCATTAGTGATCATTCATGACCTATCATAGTCACAGTGATTGGGATCATTAGATCAGGGAGTGCCATTGGTCTTAAAACACACACTAAGTGGACAGGGCTTGATCCCTAAGGATCAGGGGAGATTTCAGTCTCTAGGGACTCACTGGACCTGGAAATTTACTGGTCATTGTCTATTGGGTGGTTAGTGGTCATTGGACAGCCATTGGCTGATGAGAGGTCACTTGAATTCCTTGCCCATGGTAACCCCTGCAACCATGAGATGACCAGGCCTGTGATCAGCACCTTCATCATCATCATCGTCACTCATCAGCATATTCATTAGCCCTAGAGCCCTTACTAGGGCTGGTTACTGGGCTACGCATCTTAAAAACTTCAATGCCAACATCATCATGACCCTTTTGAAGATAAGGAGACTGAGTATCCAAGACATGAAGGAACCCTGGTCAGCTAAGAATTGGTGGAACTGAAATGCAAATCCAAGTCTGATTCCCAAACCCAAGCTCTTAACCACGTGGTTGAACCACCATAATCCCTGGGAGGCCAATTTTCATGGCAAGGATATCAGTCACTAGTATATCAGTCACTAGTCACTGGGCAGTTAATGAATGGTCCCTCTAGATCAGAGGTGATTGACAATTGTGGACTCAGAGGCCACTGGAAATCCAAAGGTCACTGAGTGGTGCTGAGTGGAGGGTTGGAGGGAGCTCTAGTCATTGTGAAGGCACAGGTTACTAGATAGTTACTTAAAGGTCAGTGGTCATTGGGAGCTGGTCAGTAGTACCAGTAACCATTAGTCTCTATTCAGTCATCAGAGGTCAACAGACTTGGGGATTCATAGGGCTGGAAGGTCCTTGATCATTTGGTAGTCACCAGTCAAGGGGAGGTCCAAGGGCTCTGAAGATCCAAAGACACTTTGGGCTACAAGAGAATCATTGGTGTGAAATCACCAGGCACTTATGGGCAACCACAGGCTGTCCCTCCCAGGTTCCAACCCCTGCGGTGGGCACAGTTACTCACCCGGCTGTCCGCACTGGGGGCCATCGTGTCGGTCATCCAGGAGCCGAAGCGGGACCCCATGGCTCGAATGGTGATGGGGTTACTGACCCCAGTCAGCTTCCCACAGCCTGAGAGGCAGGAACAGGGGGAATAAGGGAGTCAGGGGTGGAAAGAGCCCAAGGGAGGTAGAGCCAGGATGAAGTGGGACTGGGAAGAGGTGGGACCAGGGGTGAGAATGGATCCAGAGATCTGGCTCCAAGATGGAGTTAAGTTGGGGGTGAGGGGCTAGAAGTCAAAGGTCAGGGTCATTTTCAGCTTTGGGGTCTATTTGTGGCCTGGGGAAGGGAGATCAAAGGTCAAAGTTTAGATGTTAGAGGTCAACATTGTTTGGCTTCTGCATACACAGGTGGTACTGGGATTGAACATGGAGGTAAGGGGTCAAAGTCAAGGGTCAAAGCATACCCAGCTTCTGGGCGCAGGCATGGAGCCGGGCCTCCAGAGCCATCACCCGCTGCTGTAGGTCCTCGTACCCGTAAGCACCCATCTCCTCCTGGATGGCGGCGAGACTGCCGGACAGATTCCTCACCTCTTCCCGCAGGCGCACGATAGTCCGCGTGTCTGCCTTATACTGCTCCAGGACCGAGCTCAGGGGCAACAGCTCCGTCATCCTGTCCTTCAGTTCCTGCTCACCAAGACCAAACTGTCGCTGATCCCTACCCCTGACCTTTAACCCAGACATGACCCCAACCTTTGACCCACAGCCTCACCCCCTGTCTTTGACATTTGGCCCATACTGGACCCTAGATTCCAGCCAACCCTCAATCTTCCCAGATGCAATCTTACACTCAGAAAAATGGGCAACATTCCCAATTCTTCCTTTGACCTCTGACCTGACCCCAAAGGACCCACCTGGAAGCTCTTGGCAGAGAGGGACCCATCAGCTGCCCGGAGCCGAGCATCCAGGCTCCGCATGAGGGTCTCCATGCTGCGCACGTACTGGAGGTCACGGTACGTCCGCAACTCAAGGACCTCCATGGACTGGGAGACATTCTGGACCTAGGAACTGGGAGGGTTAGAGACAGCCAGACTCCTGCCCCCAGCCAACCTTCTCCTCCCCTGATCTTACCAACAGCCTCCCAACGGCAAGCCCATCCATCGGCTCCGCCTGGAATGGCCACCATCGCTTTTCACCTCTCTCCTCTCCTCCCTGGCCTCCTGCTCCCACCCTAGCCCCCAATAATCAGTTCTCCATAGAACAGCTAGAGGGAGTTTTCCAGAAGGAAGACTGGATCTCCCTTCCTCTGTAGACTCTGCGGGCTGGTTCTGCCCCCTTGCCTGCCTCTCTCCATGTGCGTCCCTCCAACCACCAGCCCCTTTCACTCTCACAGATTCTAAGTTCCTTTCCTCCTCGGGGTCTTTGCACTCGCTGATCCCTCTACCTGGAGCACTGTTCCCGTCGTCTTCCCACAGCTGGCTCCTCCTCATTCAGGTCTCAACTCCAGCATCACCTCCTCAGAGTAGCCTTCTCTGATCACCATCTCAAGTAGATACCCACTCTCCCCTCACCCAGTTATTATCTTCCCAACTATGACTGTTATCTGAAACGGGCTTATTCACCTGTTACCTTCAGATGGGATCCTCAGAGGCAGACCCGGTATCTAGCATGTCCACAGCCAAAGCTCTAGTGCCCAGCATGGGTCCTAAGCAGATTCTTAATAAATACTCTTTGGCTAAATGACTAAATTGAGATTCCCTAGCCCTAACCCAGACTGAAGGCCCTCTAGCTCCCACCTCCACCTGGGTCAGGTGAGCTGTACATAGCCAAGGTGAGCCCCACCTGGCTAAGGTGAACTCAAAGGCAAGTTGTTGAAATACACAGACTTTCCACATGACATTGGAAGTTCTCAACAGCCTGATACCCACCCTGGCCACCGCAGAACATGATACAGCCATTGTAAACAGTCATGCGATGTCCCAAACTGTTGGGGAAAGCAATTCTGGTGTGGTGGGTAGGGAGGATCCTGCAGAGTTAATAGGTGGGAGACTGTTGTGATGATAAGGGTCTCTTCCGTTCTCTGCCACGCCTCAGCTTCCTCCATTATAGGGTGATGGTGGGAGGTAGCTGGGCCCTTTCAACACCAACATTAGAACTGTCGAATGGGCAGGCAGCTGGACAGTGGCAAGGGCAGCAAGCAGTGTATAAAGGGCACCAAGTCTACAAAGGGATGTATTGAATGGGACCATTTTCCATTGGCCATGATCAGAAGGGGAAGGAATCTTTATACGAGCCTCTTGGGATAGAGGGTGAGACCCCTCCTCAAGGGACACAAAACACCTTCTTAGCAGGTGAGTACGACAAACTAAAGGGTTGAGTGGAGCGTGCACAGTGAGGGTGGAGCTCACACATGCAGGAGACAGATGCTGCCACTGGGGTCCTCTTTCCTCCTGGAGCCCACACAGAGCTCAGCTTCTCCGCCAAAGAATCACTGAACAGATACTAACTAAAATGCCCATCTGGAGGGGAGGCCGGTTGTCTGCCGGCTCCGAATGACCTGCGTGGCTAGACATGGCCCTGGCTGACCTGGACAGGGGCGGAGGGCAAGATGAGAATTGGGAGACTTCTCCAAATTCCCCAAAGAAACCAGAAGGTTCTCACCTTCTCCATCAGCTGCCGCAGCTCCCGACTCCTGCCATCCCGGGCGCAGGTGCTCTGTGCGGGGATCACGGCCGTGCAGATGCATTTCCCATCAGGGGCCTGGGCCGAGGTATACAGCTGCCAGCCTTCTTCTGGGCTTTGGAAGAGGGTCTGTGGGGAAGTCACGGATTAGGGAGCAGGAAGCCAGTGGGGGACGCACCCAGCCCTCTCTGGAGGAGAAAGGGGAACTGGAGAAACAATGGATGCCTTTTACTGGATCCCTGGAATGTGCAGAGTGACTGATGCATGGGACCCCACATTACAGATGACAAGGTTGAGGTACGAAGAGTAAAAGGACACAGCAAAAAATTGTGGGATCTGAGCCCTTCCACAGGCAGGAATTTAATCACTCGCACACATTTGCGAACACACAACATTGCCTCCATAACCACTATTAGAAATAGGGCTGCTCGTACACCCAACCCTGGACTCCCTTTCTGCTTCCTCAGCCCGGAGACACATAAGCTCCGGATACACCTCAGAGACCACTAAGCACAACCCTACTGTTGTCCCCTCCCCATATCTGCCCCTGCTCCTGGAAATGGCCACAGGGTGACAATCCTCAGGGAGACTTCGGGGCCCTTGAATAGAAGCCATCACCTTAAGACTCCTCCCAATAAAACTTCAAGTTAGTTGATATAGCTCAGATAATTCCGGGATCTATCATGGCTGTGTTTGCAAGCCATGATCCTTGGAATGCTGGTGATCTTACCAGGTGAGCTGGAAAAAGGCTCCTCTGTGGTCAGGTAAGTCTGTGCATTGTTCAAAAAACACTGACTGCCAAAACTCTGACATTTCTTTTAGCAATATTGTTTTCTGATTTACCTCCGGCAAGGAAAATGAAAGAAAAATATCAGGCTATATCAAACTAATAAGTTTTACACAGCAAAGGAAACCATCAACAAAACAAAACACAACCTACTGAATGGAAGAAGATATTTGACGATCTATCCGATACGGGGTTAATATCCAACATTTATAAAGAATTCATACAACTCAACACCAAAAAAAAAATCCAATTAAAAAATGGGCAGTGGATCTGAGTAGACAGTTCTCCAAAGAGGACATACACATGGCCAATAGACATGACAAGATGCTCCATGGCCAGGTAGCTCAGTTGATTACTGATTCGGGTATTGTCCTGATACGCCAAAGTTGCAAGTTCGATCCCTGGTCAGGGCACATACAAGAAACAACCAATGAATGCATAAATAAGTGAAACAGCAAATCGATGTTCTCTCTCCCTCTTCCTTCCTTTCTCTCTCTCAAATCAATCAATAAAAAACAAATTTTAAAGGATGCTCCACATCACAATAAAAAAAAAGACCACAATGAGATATCACCTCACACCTTTCAGAATGGCTATCATCAATAAATTCAACAAACAACAGTGTGGTGAAGATGTGGAGAAAAAGGAACCCTCATGCCCTGTTGGTAGAAATGCAAATTGGTGCAGCCACTGTGGAAAATAGTATGGAGGAGCCTCAAAAAATTAAAAATGGAACTACCTTACAACCCAGCAATTCCACATCTGGGAATATATCTGAAGAAACCCAAAACACGAATTCAAAAAGATATATGCACCCTTATGTTCATTGCAATGTTATTTACAATAGCCAAGATATGAAAGCAACCTGACTGCCATCAGTAGACAACTGGATAAAAGAGATGCAGTACATATATACAATGGACTATTACTCAGTCATAAAAAAAGAATGAAATCATTTGCAACAACATGGATAGTCCTAGAGGGAATTATGCTACATGAAATGAGTCAGACAGAGAAAGACAAATACCACATGATTTCACTTATATGTGGAATGTAAAGAACAAACAAAACAGCAACAGACTCAGGTGCAGAAAACAAACGACATTGCCAGATGGGAGGGGTGTTGGGAGGGCTGGGTGGAAAAGGTGAAGGGATTAAGAAGTACAAATAGGTAGTTACAAACAGTCACAGGGATGTAAAATACAGCATAGGAAATATAGTCAATAACATTGTAATAACTATGTATGGGATCAGGTGGATATCTGGATTATCAGGGGGATCACTTCTTAAATTATATAAATGTCTAACCACTGTGCTATACCCCTGAAACTAATGTAAAATAATATTGAATATCAACTGTAATTGAAAACTAAAATGAAATTGGAGAAAGCAGTGACTGCCCCTGGCTGGAACATGCTGGGCCTCCAGATCAGGCCCCCTGGAGCTTCTGGAGTTAGTCACAAGTCCCAGTCCTTTTGTTTTTTATCAGGGCACGATGGCCTCATTTTGTTCAACAAGTATTTGTTAAGTGCCTACTGTGTGTCCAGCTCTGTTCTGGATCCTGAAATCACAGAGTGAACAAAACACACAAATACAAAAGCTCCTCTAGGAGTACACATTAGAGAAACAGAAATCTATATATATAAAAGCCTAAGCAGCCTTCCAACTGTCCGACCGGTAGCTATGATGCACACTGACCACCAGGGGGCAGATGCTCAATGCAGGATCTGCCAAGCTGCCGTGATTTGGCAGCTGTGGTTCTCCGGTGACGCACCCGGAACCAGAGAGGAGGGAGCCCGATTCCAAGGTGTGTCACCCGAAAACCGCCCTTTTGCAATCCGGAACCCCTCGGGGGATGTCAGAGAGCCAGTTTCGGCCCGATCCCCACAGGCCAGGCCAAGGGACCTCACCGGTGCATGAATCCATGCACCGGGCCTCTAGTAAAGAAATAAACCATTAAGTAAACGTCCAGTATTTAAAGGGTGATGAGTGCCATAGAGAGAAGTAATGCAGGGAAGAAATGATGGGCCACAGGGCTACAGGTGGGTTGGATTGCAATTTTAGGGTGTCCTGGGAAAGCCTCCATGAGAAGATGCATTTGAGTCAAGACCTGGAGGAGGAGAGGGAGAGGCCAGGTGGCTACCTGGGAAGGATGTTTCATGCAGAGAGAACAGAAGGTGCAAAGGCCCTGAGGCAAGACCCTGCCTGGCGTGATTAGGAAACATGGGAAGGGGCTGGTGTGACTGGAGCAAAGGGGTAAGTAGTGGTACAGGGGCAGGGAGGAGGGAGAGGAGAGCAGGGAGGGGACAGGGCCGCATGTTCGGGCCTGCAGGCAGTGAGGAAGATTAAATGTTTGCTCTGAGTGAGGTGGGAGTCATAGAGGGTTCTAAACGAGGATAGACATGACCCGAGTCAGGTGCTCACAGGCTCCCCCTGGCTGCTGTAGGGGGAACAGACTGTGGGGGTTAGGGAGCAGGATGAGGGCAGGAGACCAGGGTAAAGGTGACTGCACGTCCAGGGAAGAGATGCGTGGTGAGTGTAGGGGTGGAGAGATGACAGGTGGTGAACACAGAGGTGGGAAGTGAAAGACGCTGGTCCCATCCAGGATGTATTCCTACGGGCACTGAAGAAATTCTGATAAAAGCCCAAGTGTTTTACAGAGAAACAAAGCCCTATAATAACTGATCATTTGCAAGCCATTAACTAACTGAGCGCCCAGCAGAAGCCAGGCTGTGTTATGCACAATCCTGGAGTCTCCAGCTATTATACGCCCACCTTTTTCTCTCCCACTCAATAAAGTCTTTTTTTGAAAAGCGTATTAGAATGTGAGTGATATAATTGTACAGACGAGCTTGACTCCTCACTAATTTGTAAGAAACCACTGTAATTCGTCATTGTTTGTGCCTATGTACAACCTTCTGAAGTTGGCGGAACCCCTCTTTACGAGCCCATGTCTTCCCCATGGAGGAATGAAGTCACTCACCTTCCCAGATGCCCCTGCACGCAGGTCTGGTTCAGGGGGAGCCAACACTCCTGCCTCTGCAGTCTTGCGGCAGCAGCGCCCGGATCACCAACACCAAGGGTGGTCCCAGCCCGCTCTGCCTTTGCAGTGGGCAGCCTTCTCCCGCCCGCCCGCAGGCCCATCCATGCCTCGTAGGAGTTAGTGATAAATACCTCCCTCTCGCCTCCCTGATAGGAGAACTCTGAGGTGTGCACAGCACGAAGTTTCCCGGGGGAGCCCATTAGGACCTGTACTCCAGGTGCCCACAGCAGCTCGCTGCTCACCAGCTCACCCTGCATGGGTTTCCTTCCCTTCTCCTCACTCCCCCCACTGGTTCCCCTTGGGATCACCTCCCAGGGGAATACTTGTACTCAACTCTTCTCCACCTCTGCTCCTGAGGGACCCAACCCAACACAAGAAGGGTGAGTCAAGAAAGCTTTCCCCGAGTTTCTGGAAGACCGTAACTAGCTTTGCCTCCTTTCACAACAAATTCAGTTCTTAAAACACAAACACACACAGCAACAAACGTGAGTCCAAGCTTCCCCATCCACGTTCCCTGGCTCTGATCCCCAAGCAATTTGGACGGAACCCCCTCAAAATTCTCACTTGTGCAGAGAGACCAAGCTGCCCAGTTCAACCTAATTAACTTCTCCTCCCTACATCCCCTAGCTTTGAAGCAAACAATCCTCGTTCCCTCAACAACTGAAATACTGAATTGCAAAAGAGAAGCGGGATTTAAGTGGCGAGGCCTCCGCGGCTTTCCTAAAATAATTGTCTGCGTGGACACCCTCGCCAGAGTGCTCCCTGCAGCAGAGGAATTAAATGCCTGGGGTTTGGCCGCCAACTCTCAGCATCACCCCTCGTCAGGTTCAAGATCAAATACCACACAGGCAAGTTCATGTCCCCAGGGCCACTGGGATGTCCTGGAAGGCTTGATGTTTGAGGGTCCAAGTGCCTGCTCTCCCAGGCTGGGTTTAACTTGGAACCAAAGTCATGAACTCTTGGAGGTCACAGACTGAGGGACAGAGCATGGCCTGTGCCGTGGGAAATGCTGTAACAGCAGGTGTGGGAGCCCAGGGGTGGCCTGTCTCACCTCAGATGTGGCAAATGCTCCCCAGAAGCCAGCCGCTGTCTTGGCTGAGACGCTGGTTCCAGAGTTTAATATTCCTGCTAATGGCCTCTAAGAGGGTAAGCTATGTGCTCAGTGGCCGCTCCTCAGATTGTCTTTCTGGCTGGGGTTTTTCAAATACTTTCGCCGAGGCTGCTGCCCCAATTAAGCCGATGTCTCTGTAACAGATTCAGGATTGGCTGAGTCTGAGAAATTCTCACAAAAAATTTC